CACACTTGTGACGGTACAAACGCGTCAGAATATGCAGGAAGGGGATATTTTTAGTCTACTGCTGGTAGACTTGCTGCAAGCTCGGCTGCCGACGAATTCCAACGAGACGTTTCTCGTGTTACGAGAGTAAAAGAAAGGATACACTCCGTGGAATAATAAAATCTCACACTCCAGCTGCAGGTTATTCTCTAATCTGCTTTCAGAGGCTGATATGTAACCAGCAGCCAGTGGGTCGATTCACTGTCTCTCTCTTTCTCTTTCTCTGGCACGTTTATCTTTTTCTATGGTTTCCTCATCTCGCGTGTGTTGCGCGATTATCTTGCGTTACTGCCTCCGACTAGATCCGATTATGGCAAGTTTCTCTTAGAGCGCCAGGTGCGCCCTCCTTCAAGATTATCCTCCCTCTTTTCCCTTCGACTTCGCGTCTTTTCTATCTCTTCGTGGCAGGTTGCACCGTGAAATCCACGGGCTCGTGTTTCCGCGGGCCGTGGTAGGTGTGTATTTATAGGCGCTTAGTATACTCGCGTACGAACGCGCACTGGCTATTATTAGGAGCGTGTTAAATAGTCCGTTTCTGTCCTCCTCTATCTTTTTCGATTCTTCTTTTTATCAAATCTCGAGTGGGAACAATTTTTCAAACCAATTGTCGTCGAATCTTTGAGAACAGATTATCGAAAAGCACGCGACACAACCGATACACTTGAAAACGAATCGAGAAAACGCACTGTTTATATCGCACTCCTAACACTACCGGCGAAAGAAAACACGCGAAGCGATGAACATAACCAATAAATATCAACGGCCACGCGCGACGGTACGATGATCAAAGTATATCGGGACCCGTGACATCGAGATAATTCGAAGAATGATAATGAAACGTCAGATTTACGCACTCCCTCTCTCTCTCTTTCTCTCTCTCTTTCTCGTGACCGGTCGAAAAAGAGACGTTCTCCTACGCACGCACTAGAAGGGACTGCCGCTCCGGCGTGTTCCGAGACCGAGCCACTCTGTCATGCGCAGCTAAGCGCCGATTGGCTGGGGCGTGGTCGGACTGACAGCAAGTCGACGTGTTTTCTCATTGGCTGTTGGGCATGGCTACGACCACCATCTCGTCTCATCATTGGTCGAGCCTCGTTTGGTAATAAATAAATCTCATTACACCCCCGACTTGTATTCCTTCTTTCTCTAATATGAACATAGTTAAAGAGACAGGCAAGTAAATCGGACGAATCCATCCCAGAACGAGCATATTTCAGTTACTTTCACATAACTCGTTAAGTTCTACGATTGGCCAACTATTTAATTATCTTCTATGAATACGTATTTCACTCGATGTAGAAATCTAGTAATTTATCGGTGTATTGTTATCAGCATTTGGTGAATTTTACGCGGGATATTATTATGATAATTGTAATTTAGAAACAATATTTAAACACTTACCTTTTATTCGTAAATATTATATTTCTAATTATCATATCGAATTATAAATGATTAAGAAAGAAAATATTGATCTAACATAGTTGAATTCGATAGATGAATATTCATGCTTGAAGGAATCTAACCTATTTTTACGTATGTTTTTATTTTCGTTATTTATTTAATTTGAATAATTTTTATATTGATATGATATAATATAATATGTCGATTTAAAAATAATAGATACATTTATGAAATCTAAATATAATATAAAATTACAATGATTTATTTAATTTCTGCTTTTAAATACTTTCTGTTTTTCTCTCAAGATATTTTCACAAATGAGTGTCATCGATTTTTCAGTGGATGAATTGAATTTGTTCGAGGTAAAGCAGTTGATGTTGATAATTGTTTTCCATTTACATTAAACAGAAATTGAAATGAAATGTTTTACAATCGGGTTTTTCTTTCAATAAATTTCATGGAAATAAAGTCTTACTGTGTATATTCATAAAGAAAATGAAAAACATTGACTGATTTGTTTGATGCAATACCGCGATTTACATAACCTCACAAATTTTTATTGAAATATTTTTACATTTTTATTGTCACGTTCACGTCGCCAATGAAATATTTGATTCTCTCTCGAAGTATTATTGACATTAATATAATATCAGATTAATGCTGTCGACAAAATATACAAAATACAAAATATTTGTTATAAGTGAATGAAAAAATTAAATATTTTAATTGAGAATAAATGTTTCACTTTAATGAATAAAATATTTAAAATATTTATTTTATTGCGAAATATACTTTATATATATATATATATATATATATTATTTTTTTTTTTAAGACTTTTAAACATAAACGTTTTAAAAACTTGACCACTCTTCGATTTTGAGAAAGATCGTATGGCGTGGTGGACAAAAGAACATCTTGTTTTCTCAGACCACAAGGACTTTTGTAAAAACAAGGCTTCGCTCCCTAAAATAATGCATGCCGACCAAATTTCTCGGTATGTCCTGGCTCAAAAGCTTCGTTCGAACGAAACGAACACGCCGTTTGTTTTGCACATACCGTTTTCCGTCTTTTCTGATTGACATGGGACGTTTTTCAAGCTTTGCACATGGCAAATGTGCTTTCTGTTCTTTTTTCGCCGCTTCTGATAGTTATTAAAAAAAAAAAAAAACCAGGCGTGTTTTTCAAATTTCAATAGAAAAATAATTTACAGGCAGGAACAATTTTCTTGATATATGATGAAAATTCTATTTCTTCATATTGATTGTAATTTCACAGTCTTGTAATTTCTTTTTCTTTCCATTATTTGATGATCAATCACTATAAAATTTTACAAATAGAATTATTTTTTTTTTGTTTTACGTTTCAATATTATGGAATAAAATTTAATTATTTTCCTCAAGAAATAAATAATCTCGGTTAACCGATGAAATTACTTATGCCATTCATCTCTTTCTCTCTTTATGACATGATTCATTAGAGTTGATTTCATATTTTGAGTAATTCGATAGCCAATACTTTTGTTATCTTTCAGATTGTCCTGAAATTTTTTAACACGAAGTCTGTCAGATAAGATAATTATATAAGCACATTATATAAATAAGTAAGAGTAAGAATTGCCTGATAGTGGAGATTCTCATCTGGATTCGAATGATCCTGTAGAAATTGACACATTTACAGTGGTTGTATGCGGTTCTCTCCGACGGGGTGCCACCCGTGGCGTCACCATTCATCCTGGACATACGGTCGAAGCGGTTTGTGGTCCAGGAAGAAGTCGTTGACATCATAATGTGACGTCTAGATGCTTACGGTTCTCCTCGCCCCGTGAAATCAACCGTTCGATCTTCTCGATGACAACTTGTTCAAAAATATCCGCGGCCGTGTTAAGAATAATTTCTGTGTCACGTGCCGCTTATCTTTCATTCCATCCTAAAATATTTAAGAAAAATATTTAATCTTCGAATCCTTATACTCTGCTCAACCTCTGTTTCAATCTATTTTTTATTTATCTATCGATAAACATTTTTTTAAACCATTATTTCGATTCTATCTCAATAGAAAATCATATTGATTATACATACCCAAATTCATCATAGATAACACGGCTATAACACATAATATTTCAAACATCCTAAATTTGACTTGTCCTTATCAATTTCATCAAATTCCACAAGTTCCACGAACTTTTATTTCAAATCACGATCCAATTAACGTACTTATAATCCAATGATTAAGTAACGAGACAAACGATTATCATCATAATCGAGTTAAAATCGAACCCCGTCTGAAAAATCCAAACGTGATTATTCCTCGTTGAGAAGGAAGTGTTGGGAAGTGTCAGTCTCCAGCGGCGTAAACACGAATTTTTGATGTCTCTTTGGGACACATGAGGCGGAAGTCGAGAAGGAACATCGACACAAAACGTTTTCGCATCGACATCGATTCTTTTTGCGGAGAGAAGGCGAAGAAGGCAAGGTACGGGAAAAAGAAGGAGGAGGGAAGTGTAGAACGCGAAGGAAGGACGACGTGGTTGCGTAACAATGCGAAAACGCAAGAGAGCATCCAACGAAAAGCTCGTATCACGTTCCCATAAGTGGCAGGGCGCGAGAATCCCCGCAGAGACGTCCTCACGCTTTTCTCTCCCTCTCTCATTTTTCCTCTCTTTTTCTCTTCCAACAACGCTTCTCCTCCCCGTCCTTTTCTTCCTCCTCTTGGATTTCTCTCCCTCTCTTTTTCTCCCTTTCAACGCAACCATGTGCGCACAACGTAAAAAGGGGGGCGAAGAGGCGCCAGGTATACATGCACGTACGAAAAATTCCATGGTGACGGCACCCTGGGTATCCCGTGGCGAGGATCTGAATAACCCGTAATTGCTAACCCTCCATTCACGTGCACGCCTCTGCTCGTGGTTGCTCGTTTTCCTCGAACAAAGACGTCTCGTAACTGGCCGCGACGCACGAATTCATTCGGGGACGAAGTTTGCCGCCCCGAACACGATCTCGTTCGTTCGGGCGTCGACTATCTTCTAACTATGCGCATTGTAACAATTACTTACTACGTGTTCCTCGATCTTTTACCATTTGTGATGAGCAGACTGGAAAGCCGGGTGGTTCGATTCGTGGGACGATTAGAAAAGGCACGTTTGGGAATTGCGCGAACGAGAAAAACAAGAAATTTTATAACGGGAATATAACCGGAACAATTTGGTCAACAATTTTGGAAAGAAGAATTTTTGGTGTTGCAACAGTGTACATATACAATAGTAGTTATCCACGCTCCTTAGGTAAAATGTAATTGTAGCTTGAAACGGTAAAAATCGAAAAATTGGAGATTTTTATCGATATCTTTTTTCTTATATTGGAACGTTAATATTTTAAACTAAGGAGGATATAGATATTTTTTAAAAAAAATATTTAAGATATATACATACATGTTTGAGATATATATTTATATTTTAAAAAACGAAATAGGAAGACAAGTTTCGTAATTGATTGACAGCGTAACAGCGAATTTTAATAAAATAGCTCTAATAAAGAATGAAAAAATATAATTCATATTCATATGTTCTTCATTTCGTTATATTCGATATAAAAACAGTTGATCTATACTCTATATAATCAATTCTTAATTTACATATATTTTATCATTTTTTTNTTTTTTTTTTTTTTTTTTTTAAATTAAACTACTCCCGGGACTACACGAAAAAGCGTAGAACTTTAAAAAATAAATTATATACCATTCACTTTCTTTTGTTATTGACAGTATATTTTTAATTATTGACAGCCGTTGAACCACGAAAAGAACCACGTATTGGTAGCATTATCGTCATCTTCTGCTTCTGGCATATCCTCAACGTTTTCTTTTAAAACAGGTACATCCGGATAGTTCAAGTCTTCGTGGAAAATCCAGAATTTCTTTTCCGGTACCAAATCGTTCAAACCGACATCATTATCGTTTTCATAGGTTTCCTCGTTCGAATATTTCCTCAATCGATCGTTCAGCAATTTGGAATTTTGCAAACTGCTTATAAGATTCAAAGGAAATTTTAAGTTTGTAAAGTTCACCTCTTTCTTCTTCAATTGTTCTTTACACGGACTGATAATACGCTCTAAACCGGACACTACTTTTTTATCCTCCTTTTTCTTTTTAGGCATTATATTTTTCTTGCACTCCTCGATCTCTCTTCGCTCTCTATCCATCCTTTCTTTCGCGGATTCTTTCGCTTTTTCGCTTTCTGGGATTATTGTTTTTTTCCTATCTACAGCCATAAATGAACAGGAAATTTCTCCAAATTTAGTGTATTAAGTAAAAAAAAAAAAAAAAAAAAAGAAAAAACATTCGTAACAAAAACGAGTTTTATCTTATTCCGAAGAACGAGAAAAAAATTACCAAGGTCGATATTAATTTTATATATCTCCTCTATTAACTCGATCGAATATTTAAAGGAAAAGAGATACGTAACGGAAAAAAAAAAAAAGAAAACTGAAAAATTTAATTACCTTTTAATCGTAAAATTTTGCAAACAGCTGTTTGCAAAAAAAATAAATGCGATGGATATTTTTATGTATCTGTACGCCGAAAAATTCAAGAATCACAAGAGAAGTTGAGAATAATTTATGGAAATAATGGTCACCTTTGCACATTTGTTCCCTCTTTTTGCCGCATATATTCAAAGTGCTCGTTGCATCCTTAATGCCATACTGACCCTCCTTGATCCTGGTTACACTACTGCAACTCAATTTCCCTGAAGTCTTTTTACAAGCATTATTTTTTGTGTCATAACTCGATCTTACCTTTTTATCGTCCCTCTTCCTATTTCGCCTCACCTTCTTGCAAGGATGCTCCACCACCTTCGTGGGTCTTTTACAAGTATTTTCATCGTTATCGTCGCAGAGAACGGGTTTCACCCTCGCGCACGCATCGGTATCCTTCTTATAAGTATCCCTCTGCCTCCTACAAGCATTATTGTCGCAAGAACCCTTCAGCTTTTTGCAATTATCATCTCCTTTCCTGTCGCCCTGCACTTTACACTTGTTGGCCTGTCTTTTGCACCTGTTTTGTTTACACTTTGTCCTGTCGTCGTTCCTCTTGCATTTCGAGAAATTGCATTTCGAGGGTGAGATCAGTATTTTCTGATTCAACTCCCTGCTCTCCTTCGCGCCGAGCAGGGGGATAGCGAAGGCGGGCAACGAAGAAAATCGTTTCACGCTTTTCACAGTTTTCGGCCATCTGACGTAAGCGGAATTCATGAAATTCCTTTTCCCGAATTTCGCCGATCTGTTCCCACTATTATCGTCGGACCTGCTCGTCCGTCTGTTCACGTCTCTGTTTCTCGACCTCGTGCTTCTGTCATCCGTCGAATTCCTCGAGTTGTCATCTCGACTCCTTCTCCCAGGATAGGAACTGTTTCGTCTGCTGCTGTTGTTGCTGCTGTTGCTTCGACTCGGATTATTTCTATATATATATATATATATATAAAACGTACGTTTTCGCGTGAAATTCGAAATAACGTCTAATCGTTATTCAATATGATTCGTTTGTTCGCTCGTAAAATTTAAATATACGATAAAAAAGACTCGTATACGGGTCGGAAAATACGCAAAGTATTTTAAAATATAGTATCGGAGGTGTTTTTTTTTGTTTTAATTAAATTACTGTCCAATTTAATTAATTCTTTTTTTTATAATAAAAACTCGTAAAAGTTCGTTCCATCAATTTCGGGGGAAAAAAATTCATTGGAGAACTATTCGTGAACTCGAAATGATCGATTTATTTATCTGGGTATTGGTACGTTTCGAGTTTACGGGGGAAAAAAAAAAAAAGAAAAAAAAATGAAAAAAGAATAGGGGAGGGGGAGGGGAGGGGGGGGAAACATTTAAAAAATATAAAAAAATATCAAATGAAATGGGGAAAAAAGTAACGAAAAATAAAATAATAATAATGATAAAAAATGTTTAGAGTTTAAAAACATATAAAAATGCAAAAATCCTTTTCACATGGATGACAGATAATAAAGTTCGAGTTTGGCATAGAAGCTCAAGCTCAAATCGTTGGATAAAACAACTCTAGATTAGAAAATTTGTTATCTTGAATTTCACGCGAAAATAATATCGTGATATACTTGACTTGAAAAGACGCGTAACGTTCGATTACCTCTCTCTGTTGCACTTTTTGTGCGACCTCGGATCGGTACAAAACTCTCGTATCTCGGCCTCGTCTTCCGACTGCAAACAGGTTGGATCGTAATGGACCATTTTCGTAGCGTTGAGAAATTCGTGTTTCGCGTTCGGGCATTGAAACTTGGTGTAATCGCAATCGGTGGGTGTTTGCAACGCCGGGCAGCAATAACGCTTGCACTCCTTTTTGTTACTCTTCTTGTTGTCCTTCCGATTCTTCGTATTCTGATTGTCCTTGTTCTTATTCCGTAAATTCATAGTGGAAGTTGAGATGTTGGACGATGGATTCCTCGTGTTCAACATCGCTCGCAGCCCGTTGCTCTCCGGCTCCCTCGCGATCGGCAATTTTTTGGTCAAACAGTTGGAGCTGTTGGAGGAAGCCGATCTCCGACTCGTGTACGGGGGATACGAGGCGGGTGGTTTCCGCGATCCCCCGCCAGAGCTGCCGCTCATCGAGGACCCTTTACCACCGCCCATCTCCGACCCCTGAGAATTTCTGCTATCCGTGTTGGAGCGCAACAATTTGGCCTGAGTGGCGGCACAAGGCGAGCTCGGAACCCGTTCGTGCTCGTAAGGGTTGGTTATGTTCATAACTGGTTTCTCCATTACGGCTTGGAAGCCGGTTCTTCCGTGCCTGCTCGATTTCCGTGGCGCGAAATACGTGGCGGCTGGGTCGGGTTTGAGAAATTTCAAGTTCAACGTTTCGCTCGGTGATTCGATGTTTTCCGTCCCTTTTGACAATTGTTCAACTTGAGGATTTGTTGATGCAAGTTCAGAATCGTTCGTATCACTCTCCGCTTCTCTCATCTCCATCTGCTCGCTCCTCGACGATTCGACCTCCCCTTCGTTCGCTTCCACCGTCTCCATCTCCTCGCTCCCTCTCGACAAGTGTCGAGAAACGTTCCTCCTATCGCTCTCCGTATATCGCGACTCCCGCAATTCTTCCTCCATCTCGTCGGCTTTCAACATTTCCAACGCGTACTTCGAGCTGGTTATGTCGTCCTCCGGCTGCGCTTCCTCCTTCGCCTCCACTTCCGTTTCCATCGTCGCTTCCGGCTCCGCCACACTCTCCTCGATCGCTTCCGTCGCTTCCGTCGCCTCTTGCGACGCAGGCTCGGGCACCTTCGCGAATTGGACCGTCGTGTTACTGCTGCTATCCTTCTTCTCCGCCTTCTTCATCTCGGGGATCGGGTTCAACCTTTGAACCACTTCCGACGGTTTCGTTTGATTCGAGGTGGCGATCGGTGGCGTGGTCGGTTGCGTGGTGGATGGCGGGATCGGTGGAGTTATCGGTGGCGTTATCGACGGTGCCATCGACGGTGTTGTCGACGGTGTGACGGATAGCGTTATCGGGGGCGGTGTTGTGTGTGCCGACGGTTGGCCGACCTGGGCCGAGGCCTTTTTCTCCTCCGCTTCGTCCAATTTTTTCCCCTCGTCTTGCCTCTTCATTATCGGCGGCAAAGGTTTCGGGATATTCTTAGGCGGTTTAGACGAAAACTGGACGGACGGTTGCGTCTGATACTTCATCTGGCCGGTTGAGAAATCGGTTTTCAAGATGGGCAGATATTTAATATCCTCCTTCTTGGGAGGGATGTTACCAGGGGTGCCGACCAGCAACTTGCTCGTGGTTGAAATTTTCTGATTCGAGGCGGCCACCGCGCTACTCATATCCGTCTCCCTTTTCTCGATCTTCGCCTCCTCGATGATGGGATCGTCCTTGCCGATCAATTTATTCCTGCAAAATATCTCCTCCACGTTCTCTATAGCTTTGGTCGTCAAGCAAATGGTATCGTTTCTCGCGTCGCTATTCCTCCCCTTCGTTCGAGATCTATCCGCGTTACAATTGCTCGAGTTCATCAGCTCGTCCTTGGTTAGAATATCGAAATCGTACGACTTTCCGCCCGGCACAAATGCGAAGTCACCGGCCTGCTCGTTCCGAAGGGTTTTGTAACCCTTCAGTTTCCATTTCAGCGTTTTCGGGACAGGATTCCCGTCCAACAGGGACACCAAATTGTCCTGTTTCAAAACGTTCTGCAACTTTAGACAGCTTATCGGCCCCTTCGATTTCAAATCGAACTGGGAATTCCGCTTCAAATTAGGAGGCGGCACCGTTGAAATGTTGCGGATCAAATTAGGCGACCCTGTTGATTTCGATACTTCGTCAACTTTGTTCGTTGAGATTAACGAGGTTGAAACGATGTCCTTGGACGAGGGACATTTCTTCGCATCCTGGCAGTTTTCTTCCTTCGAAGAGAACTCGAAAAAACTCCAGAATCGTCGGGATGACGCTGTTGTGTGAAGTTGCGTCGATGAGCGCTGATTAAATTGGAAAAATCGTCTCGTTAAAAATCTTTCGCTCTCCCTTTCAACGCTCGACGAGAAACGAACTCGTTTCCCTTCACTCGTTCGAATTTTATTTTAATTTATATAATTATCATCTTTCTCTCGCCCCAAATCATACGTAAAATATAAACTGAACTAAAATTCGAGAAAGGGAATAAAAGTTTCAAAGAGAAAATACGTTCATTGTATTTGGTTATCGTGACGAACGATTAAATTACGAGGAGAGGTTAATGGAATTTATTGTACGAGTTGATGCGTGCAACGATTAGATGATAAAAAAAATCTCGTATATTTATCGAGTATATTCCAATTACTTATGAATATGTGATTGAATGGATGTTAAGACGATTAAGATACGATCCCGTGCAATTTTACGTTACGCAGAACGAGGAACGTATCATTGATCGAACGACGAGCGAAGAAAAATATTGTATCGTTAAGTCGTAAATCTTATCGACGAATTACACAATAATAATACCGTACCTGGAAACTTTTGGAAGGAAAAACATGAGGGAGGTCCTGCAAAACTAATGCCCTAATTCCTTTCATTGTGATTTGAAATTTAATCAATGTTTTACTATGCAATTTGGACAGGTTCGTCATAAACACTTAAAATTTTGAAACTGTGATTATAATTCAAACGGAATACGTCATTCCCGACTCTTCAGTGACGCGACATTTTGAACGATTACTGAACGTGCATTTAATTAACAATGGTGGATCGGCCGATCCTCGGTTACCGAAACATATGAGGATCGACTCTCGATTCGCGTGATCGAGATACGAAGCGCATGGATCACTCGATCGTCATCGATATCGTCACATATCCGTTCAACGATATCCTTCCCGCTCAGCGACAAAGAAATATTGTAGAGATATTTCATTTGCGGCCAACTTAACGATAAATAAATAAATAATAAATCGAAAATCGATGTCCTTTGTTTTTCGAGGCGCAGTTCACACGTGCGAGGGAAAATTTGTCGTCCGTATCATGGCGAGATAATTTCGTTTCTTCGCAAAAGAATTTCATTTTTCTACGATTCCTTTCCCTTTATCATGTAATTCCTCTTTTTTTTCTTTTTTTTTTCTTTTTTTTTGTAACGTAAAATTATGTAAAAAAAATAAGATTCGAAAAGAACAATAACCAAATTTCGAAGAGGTTGGACATGAACGAAATCAGAGCGTTCACTAAACAATCTTTTGCGCCTATTTTAAGGAATTCCTCGCTGGTATCGTAATTTTTCACGTAATTATATCTTTATCTATATCTACGAATGAAATTATCGTCATTTCTTCGGGAAGAAATTCCAAACGAATCGCGCCTCTCTCTCTCTCTCTCTCTTCTTTCTATTAATTCTATTAATCGAATCGTTCCTTTCCTTCGTGTTCCCCTTTCCCCCACTGTTTTTCATTCTTCCATCGTATCTCATTTTCATCGACTATTTCGTGCATCGAATATTAATCATCATTTGATATTACTTTTCATTACTTTATTACATCTTATTTCCAACGTTTTCATTCGTTATTCGTTCATCGTTTAAATTCATCCACCGAATAACCGAGGATTTTTGATTTAATTGGCGTTGATTTGTTTTTAAATAATCGTCACGTAATATGTGATGGATGGAATAAATTCATTTTAAAGCAATATATTTTTCATAACGTAACAAAATTTTAATCGATCGAATTATCGTTTCAACGAACAAAAAAAAAACAACAATTGAAAAATTGTGCAAGTATTAAAATAACGATTGTTTCGTATTTAAACAAAATTTACTCGATGATAAAACATAAAACGGAAAAGATATATCCCATCCCATTTAATATCTCTCAATTTTTTTTTAATCTCCCAAGTATAACAATCGTCTCCCACACAGTGATTCTTTCCACGATAAATCCTTTTCGCGTTATATAAATATTTTTTAAATCTGTCGAAAATAGCATTGATTTCAATCTAAAATTTAAATCTCCATTCCAAATTGGATCTTTTGTTGTATGCTGTATTCAAAAGGAGGAAAAAAAAAAAAAAGAAGAGAATTCGTTGAAAAATAGAAAGATCTAATAATAAATTTTGTTTTGTTGAATCGCGACGATTCGATTACAGAAGGATAGACGGAACGACAAAAGGCTATGGGTACCGTTTCGATCGATCTTCGATCAGTGGACACAAGTGACGGACGAGTCCAGTTGGGTGGAAGTTCTCCTGCCGCGGGATCCTCAAACGAGGATCCAGAGCCGGATGAAGCGACCCCCCTCTACAGCGAAGACTGTCTTCGGGGTGCGCTGCAACCGTCCCCGCCCGAAGATCAAAAGGGAAATGGTGGAAGATTTCCAGCGGAGGATCCTCAATCTTACGGCCAAATATTGAAATTCTCTTATCCAAAGGGGAAACGAAATAATAATAATAATAACAACAATGGGAAGAAGCCTTTTAAACGTAAAGTGACATTCGCTTTGTGAGAAATTTACGTTCCGTATCTTTGTTTAATAAAAATGAGAAAATAAATTTCATTTTAATTTCGGATTGAAGCGATATTTATCACAGATTTATATATATTATATTCGTCAAATTCTTTTCTTCGTAATTTTATTCGATTATACGTTCGTATTATAAGGCAAGGAATTGGATATCAACGCGGTTGGTAATTTTAATTTCTTTCTTCTTCTTCTTCTTCTTCTTCTTCTTAATTACTTTGAAAGATAAAACTCAAAAAAGGGAAAATTTCTTTATTTCTTTCGCGCGATACGCGCACTCGCGAAGGTTTTGAAAATTGATGAGGGAGGAGGGGGGAGGGAAAAAAAAAAAATAAATAAATTGAAGAGACCTCGAAATAAATATCGATTTCCCGTATCGATTCTTCGTAAGTGATTATACCGTTTGGGGGGGAAACGCAATATTCGTATTCGTTCAACACATCCAACCGTAAAAAATTATTTATCTCTAATAAAAAAAAAAATAAAAAAAAATAAAACATAAAATAGAAACGAATCGCAAGCATGGTCGATTGATTATATGGAATCCGATTTCCAACAAAAAAAAAAAAAAAAAAAAAAAAANAAAAAAAAAAAA